CCCCCCAATAAACATTTGTTGAACTTTCTGTGATATCATGCAGTTAGTTCAGACATTATGCTGTATGCTTCATACACATGAGGAAATAACTTACCTTAAACACACTTAATCACATTTTGAATACTAATCTATGAAAGCCTCCAGCAGGCCTAATTCAGATGTCATTAGTTGTAATAGTTCAATAGCTGACAGCTACCTCCCTCTCCAGCCAGTTTGAACTCTTAAACTCTGGGAGGCCTAGAGTTTCTGGCAACTAAAAATGTATTTAGGAAAACCTCATCCCAAGTGCCCTCAGTATTCCTAACTCAACATAGTGGCTGAGTAGATGTAGGCACTAACTGGTTTAATGTATTATAATGTGTAATATGACATTGTCTATGTTTGTTTTTACTATCTGTCTTTCTGGTTTTTAGGTGTCTAGTAATAAATTGCTACCCTGTTGGACGATACAGATATTATGATCTATTATTTGTATTATTCTTCAGAATGTGGCGCCCTCCTGTGGCTTCAGAGTACACATTATATTCATTTAAAACATAATTAATAACCTAATGAAACACGTTTAATCACACAGTTACACGGCGAGGCATCGGGAATAAGCACGTTACATAATCCACGCATATACTGTGAATCCACGTGAACAATTTAGAACTAAATGAATATCATGAGATATTTAACAGGAACCCTCCTGCCTGTGGGGGCGCTGTTACAAACACTCTAAGGAAACTTTGGCTGCTGCTCACGGAAGTGCGACTGTTGTTTATCCGGCGGTTATCCTGCTCTTCGTTGGAAAAACGATGGCTAGCTCCGCAAAACAAGGACCTAAAATTGTCTCCAAATCCTCTGCGGGAGGCGCCGGGGCGGCGGGGGCCGGCGGCGGGCTCCCGGTGATGCCCCTCGCCTCTCCGCTCATGGGGAAGAAGAAGAAGCCGTTTCTGGGGATGCCCGCTCCGCTGGGCTATGTGCCTGGTCTGGGCAGAGGGTAAGCTAACGAAGCTAACACGCTTAGCTAGCTTGCTAACAACTGATAGCTCTGTAGCTAGTTGGTTAGTTGATGTATGTTAAATGAAAGCTAAGCAAACTGTTTTGAGTATTGATATGATTGTCAACTGAGTTTGGGTGTAAAAACATTGCAACAATATGCATTAGATATGTATACGCACATAATAGTAGCTAACGTTAGTTAAATTAATGAAGATATTAGCTCGCATTATATACATTGTTTTAATGTCCTTCTTGCTGTAATGCCTTTTAAACCAAAGTAAAATGTGCCAGGAACTTTAGGTATTAAACGTTTATATTTATTTTTGACCCCGCACAGCCTGCCGACAACTTTCTGTGAAATCAATTGAAAGTGAAAAACCAATGCTTGTCCCAAAACTATTAGTATATTTCTGGCTTAAGTGACAAGACAGCATGAGTCAATCATCAAAAGCTAGAATACGTCACTAAGACAGCACAGATAAACTTGTGAAGCAACCCTCACCAGCTGGTTATGTTTTACGGTTAATCCTGCGCATGATTATCACAAGTGTGCCCATGTTAATTTGTCTAAATAAAGTTTGTTTTAATTGCTCCTCTTAAGCGCAACTGGTTTCACCACCCGATCTGATATTGGTCCTGCTCGTGATGCAAACGATCCAGTGGATGACCGACATGCAGCTCCAGGGAAGAGGACGGTTGGGGACCAAATGAAAAAGAAAGAGGAGGATGAAGAAGATCTGAACGACACAAACTACGATGAGGTGCTTTTCACATATCTGACTGTTATTTGATGTTTATATGTTAATAATTAATCCAATCACTCAATATTTAAAGTTGACCAGACATTAACTGCCTTTTATATGATTGTTTTGGTCATTCTTATACCACAATAAAGTTTTTTTTTCTTTTAGTTTAATGGATACGCTGGTAGCTTGTTCTCCAGTGGGCCCTATGAGAAGGATGATGAAGAAGCAGATGCTATATATGCGGCATTGGACAAGAGGATGGATGAGAGACGCAAAGAAAGAAGGTTACTAAAAAATCTGTCAATTTTTCACCTGAGTTTTAGGGGTTATATAGTATGTTTGAAATCCTGTGCACTTGTTGCATCATGTGAATGACATCTTGAATGCTTTCCTTTTTTATTTTCAGGGAGCTGAGGGAAAAGGACGAAATCGAGAAATACCGTATGGAACGACCCAAAATCCAGCAGCAGTTTTCTGATCTTAAGGTATATGATTACATACAATTATCCTATACTGTCCTCTTCTTACACCTGTCTCTAATGATTTTGAGGAAATGTTTTCCTTTTCGTTAGATAATCACATGTTTACCAAACTATGAACGGCAATTTAACTGGAGACAACAGCAGTATGCTGCCATCACTTTGTTAAAAGGAAACATTGTCTTTACATTTTACACAGAAAAGCAGTTTAAGGATAAATCAATTATCAAAATAATGGCCAGTGCTTTTCTGTTGACCCAACTATGAATAAGTCTACTTGGTGTTCAGCCCTGTTGCTGACATTCCACGTTAATTAGCTACTCTATTTCATCCCTCATCATTTGCTATTTTCCACTTCTTCACAGAGAAAGTTGTCAGGGATGTCAGAGGAGGAGTGGCTGAGCATCCCTGAGGTGGGAGATGCCAGGAATAAGCGCCAGAGAAATCCCCGAAATGAGAAACTCACCCCTGTCCCCGACAGCTTTTTCTCCAAACATCTGCAGACTGGAGACAAGCATACCACAGTTGACCCTCTGCAAGGGGTCAGTATACAAACACTCATCCACATCCTGCAGGCATCTGCATATAACATATTACTAACTACATAATGTAGTATCTGCCTGCACCAGCAGGAGCCAGGATTTATCTAAAGAAAACAGAAGTTTTTTATGCTGTTATGAAAATCTCAGTAGATTAAGAATTATTTTGAAATATATATTTTTTAATAGTGTGGAGAAGAGAAAGAAAAAACACATTTAACTGTAAAGACACATGCTTTACACACTCTTTATTTCAAAAATGTAAAAAAGAATGCTATGTACATACGACATTCTCCAAAACATTTAATATTCACCAGAATTATTTTTTCACAGGTATTATTTACAGTGCTGAGAAAATGTCATAAGATGTAGGCCTATGTTTCATAAACCTTTTTGCCATTCCATTACACATTTCTCACAGAGGGAATCCTTTTTTTCTTAATTGACATTGTTCCCATTCTCCACTAGCTGGCAGGTCTGAACACGCCCTACCCGGGAAGCATGACACCCGGGACAGGAGAGCTGGACATGAGGAAAATCGGTCAGGCCAGGAACACACTTATGGATATGAGGCTCAGCCAGGTAACTTATGATCTTCCTTTACCTGTATTCTATCAATTATTAGACCCTCCAGAAAAACGCGGGCAAAAAAACCTTTATTATGCGATTAAACATGCAGGGTTTTTATGTGATTTTATGCGGTGAAATTGCGGGAAGTTGCGAAATATGCGGGGAAAAAGAATAACAATTTTTTAATATTGGGCTGTCTTATTTATTCTCTCTCACGCACAACCTGCCATTAACGTTAAACCCCTTTACTATTCAATTAAACACATTCAATGTTTATTTATTGTAAAAGCAATTGGGCTATTTTAATCTCACACGCACACACACGCACGCACGCACACACACACACACACACACACACACGCACGCGCACGCACGCACACGCACAACACACACCACACACACACACAAACCACACACACACACACACACACACACACACACACACACACACAACAACAACTTCTCCGCCTCATTCTGTTTTCATTTACTCGTTCGTTATCTGACCAGCCTTCAATCTTGTAAGGCTACTCACTTCGTTTCTTGTAGCCCTCGAAAGGGTTTTGGAGGTTGATGCCTCGCTGAACGTGAGTTGTTTGGCTTTCTTGTCCGCAGCAGCAGAAAGCATTTTCGAATGTTGAATGAATCAAAGTGGTCGCCACCGTGGATTTTCTCCTTATGCTCCACAACACACAGTTGCACGGGGTGCAGAATAGTTTCCCCCCCACTTTTTGCCCCGGTCTTTAGTAGAAATGTCGTCGGGTAGGTAAATGAGAATGGATTAGATTTTTTCAATCCTTGGTGTTTTCTCCACTATAGTGGGTGAGCTCCACACGTGTTTCACTCTATACAGTGTTGTTTACATTCTGTGATGCGCGAGCTGATGACGTCAAGGACGAGTCAAACTTTTTTTTCCCTCACTTTGTGTGGAAAAATGCGGGGAATTATGCGGCGCTTTGATAAATATGCGGCCTTATTAAAAATCTGCGCCATTTTGCTGATTATGCGGTTTAATTCTGCGATCGCAGAATCGCGTTTTTCTGGAGGGTCTAAATTTACACTTTTAGATTCTGTCAATACACAATATTTGCTGTTTCTCTTACCGTATCACTGCATTTGATCAATCATTAGGTATCTGACTCAGTGAGTGGCCCAGACAGTGTGGTGAATCCTAAGGGTTACCGCTGACTGATCTTAACTCCGATGATCCCTCACACATGGGGGAGACATCAGGTAGAGACCACCACGGCAATGACAATGGAGTTCCTGTATTTGTGTTAATAAGTTGTGGGTTTGGCCTGATGGTTCTATGTTTGGTTCTCTTGTCCAGTGACATCAAAAAAGTGCTCGTCGTCTGCCTATTGAAATCAGTGAGGGAGACCAAATCCCTCATCAGCCCGCCTGCCTGGATCGCCGTCTGCCAGGTCTGGAGGAAGGTGACGGGCAAACTGCAGGTGGCCAGGACACGCTGATCATGAAAAGGCACAGAGATGTGTCCTAAAGGTAAAAGATGGTAGACACAAGTATTATCAAAAACTATAAAGGCCTGAAGCCCATAGGCAAACACCCCAACCGTGTCCAGAAGCTCCTACTAGACCGAGGTTAGATTCGGGTCAAATGTAGAAGTGATGTGATTACTTATGCTGTTGTTTGTTGTTATACCAGTCATGTTTAGAAGCAATGAAACCTATAAAATCAAAGCGGTAATACTGTCCATATGTGATCTCAGTTGTTGTTTTTTTTCGACCTCATTGAGATGTAAAGCGGTTCCTCTTTTGCCATTAGAGTGAAGAGATGTGGTGGCTCGAGGCCGCCCCAAGACTCCAGCCCCGGCGACACAGCTGAAGCCGTGTGTGCCCAGGCTGTCCGCCAACCTGCCCGCAGTGCCGTCCGGCATCTACATCAGAGCTGCCAGAGCTGGAGAACAGACATGAGGCGAAGAAACGCCGTTCTTCAGGAAAGGGTAGGTCTTCCATGAGTAAACATTCAAATTAAAACTATATATTTAAACAGGGTTGTGAAAATACCACATGCCTCACATTGTTTGGAAGTTGATAATCTTGGCAACGGCATTGTTGCTGTTATGTGTTCTATGAGGAGGACGTTGATGTGCCCTCCACAGGGCTTTGAAATAAGCATTACAATTCCGCGCTGATTTGCATAAAAGGTTTTTCATATGCAGCTGCAGGTTCTGGCTTCTTCATCAGGACCGACAACCCACTTGAACCATGGTGTTAATGGCCCCTAACCATAGAATACATGAACGTGCACACACACCACACCCACACGCATTGATATTTCCCAACCAGCATTACCCCACTCGACCGGAGAGTGGATGTGGAGCTTCCTCTTTTGGAAGAGCTGCCTCTACAAGGTCCAGTTTGCCTTTGCTCTAGCTGTGTTTTCTCTGTTACCAATGCACAACAGTCTGCCTTCCACTCAGACACTTGAAACTTTACCACTACTGCCCAAAAATAATGTTTGGTGTTTGTATTGTATTGCTTCAGTATGTCCACTGACATCTTAAGTGTGCTCCATTTCCTTTTTGGCACTGTGAATGATTGTGCTTACATAAAGTGTTGATCAAATCATACTCTCAATTCACTCAGAATAAACGTCAAATTACTTAAACAATTGTGTTTTTTTATTTTGTATGTAGCTCCTTGAGAATGGTGTGACCAAGTCCAGTTCGACTGTGGGAAGACCGTCTTGTGGAGCTGAGGAACCAGAGGATGCCAGGATCATGCTCAGGCAGAGCTGTGGGAGTGTTGCCCTACTAGTGTGGAGGTACCCTTGGTTTTAAATATTTCTCCCAACATGAACCGACTGCATATGACTAACAAGAAATGCCATCAATTGCGCAATGCCACACATTGAGCCATGCAACCTAACTTCCACATGTAATTATTCAGTCGTTGTGCTCGTGTTAGCTGCTGGCTGGCGCCCTGGCCCGTTTAGAGACGTACGAGAACGCACCGTCGTGTCCTGAACAAAGCTTCGGAGAAACATTCCCCACCGATCGCCCACATCTTGGATCAACTGCTGCCCAAGCTGGCACCGCGAGGCCACATCGACCAACTGTGCCAGCTGGAGGAGGCCAAAAGTTCAGATGGTACAAAAGATCGCAGGGCCATCCACTTCTCTACGTGCCAACGGTGTGGAGATCAACAGAGAGCAGTGGATACAGGTGGGTTCCTGACACTTTATGGTTACGTGACATCATAGAGAGAGACAGAGATTGTTTTTTCTGCCAGCTGGTAATGTTAGAGGGAAAGTCCCGCCACTAAATAAATAGTAAAAAAGGCAACATTTGTCAATATCCAAGGTCTTTCAAAACCAATTATTTTGTAGTTATTGTGTAACTAATTCATCAGTAAATGTTTGCTGGGGTATATCCCTTCATTTCAATCGTGAGTTTCAGATGAAACCACATTAGATCAAAAAGGGAAAAAAAAGAATGATTGTGCCTTTTGAGCCTCTAGGTTTTATAAGTAAATTCTTCCAGCTTTGATCGCATGCCAGAATAGTTTAGAAAAGCGGCCCTCAGCTATTTCACCTGGGTGCAACAGAACACAAGCCAGCACGGTGACTGACATTTAGTTAAGTACAGTTCACAGCTGTTTTGCAATCATAGGCATTTGCTGCAATTACTTTCCATAATGCTTTTTTATTTGATTATTGTCCTTCACCACCTAGATTTATATACCTCCGGCAAAGTACGCGGTTATTGTGGCAGGTTCATCAGGGCCAAATGCCAGTACACTCATCGCAGCTGCAAGAACAGATGATCTTTTAAAATGGCAGGATTTGGCACTTCTTAAAAGGATCCCTTTGTGTAAGGAACCCTAACTAGTCCTTTGTTCTGCTTATAATGGCGCATTTCCACTGCAGCGCGTAGCACGGTTTAAGCGTGCCGTGCCAAACCCGGATCGTTTTTTGTTGCGTTTCCACTAGGCGTAGTTCCGGCTAACGGGTACTGTTTCGCAGTTTTTCTGGCTCTCCAAAATCCAGGTTCTTCCCGGGCTGAATATGCTAAACTAGAGAGAATCGCTGGCAAGGGGGCTACAACTACAACAAGATGAACACATTTGACCATGATTTAATTGTAATACACGTTTCAAAATGATGCCGAAGTAACAACATACTGATACCGGTTAGTAAAAACCATGAATTAATGCTTTGGCAAGTCTGCAGACAGACGGCAGGCGAAAAACCTTTTAAAATGAGTGTTTTCTGAACGGAGATTGGCTAAGCTAACGTTGTAAATGCTCCGACCGTCCACACTCACAACAACGGCCTATCAGACATAAATAAACCAGCGACTGTATTCGCCATGACACAGACAGTATGTGGTTTGTACTTGTTTAACTTTTGTCTAGTTTCTGAACAGATATGAGGAGCTGTGAGCTCTGAGGGCTAACAGCTGATGTTGGTTTTGTGTTTCGCATTGATGGTGACGTCACGGCTCCGCCTACACTGCGTTACTATAGTTACTACCCCAGTTCCTAAACTGTAATGGAAACGCAGCATAAAGTGACCCTGGCCTACCGAGGCCTAACCGTACCGTACTAAGCCGTGCGAGGCCCTGCAGTGGAAATGCGCCATAAGACTCCTCTGTGCAGAGAATACCTCTCATAAATACTCTATCTATAAACTGTAGGTCATCAACATGGCTATACTCTAGGTTTATTTAGGGGTTTTTGGTTACTGACCAATATTCTCTAATATTTCAGGTGTGTATCCCTTAACTCTTGAATTCCCCTTCCCCTTCCCACAATCTTGATTTCTCTCCTCCTCTTTCTGCAGGATGCAGAGGAGTGTGACAAAGCAGGCAGCGTGGCTACCTGCCAGGCCGTGATAAGAGACGTCATAGGGATTGGCATTGAGGAGGAAGATCGCAAACACACCTGGATGGAAGATGCCGATAGCGTGAGAACTGAACTACTCAAGCAAAACTTATCCACTGATAACTGAGGGGTGATTCACTCATTTCTCTGTCGGGGTTCAACTTAACTGAGATGCCCTTCTGTTATGTTTCAGTGTGTTTCCCATGGAGCACTGGAGTGTGCCAGAGCCATCTATGCCCACGCTCTGCAGGTGTTCCCCAGTAAAAAAAGCGTGTGGCTTAGAGCTGCCTACTTTGAGAAAAATAACGGCACCAGGTGACAAGCTTTGGTTTCTAAAAATCTGACTTTTATGGTTTGTTTGTTTTATGAAGGGTCCGTCTTTAACATTCTGTTTTTCTCTTCTTCTCCCTTTTATGCGCCGCTGTGCTCCTCCCCCCCCATCGCTCTTCCAAATCTCTGCATCTCTCAGGGAGTCCCTGGAGGCCCTGCTCCAAAGAGCCGTGGCTCACTGTCCCAAAGCAGAGGTGCTGTGGCTGATGGGAGCCAAGTCCAAGTGGCTGGCTGAGGATGTTCCTGCTGCCAGAAGTATTCTCGCTCTGGCTTTCCAGGTGACTACGATGCAAACTATGACTTGTTCACGTGGTGGTCCTGCAAACATGTGTCTTTCTCTGTTTTCCCTTTCCTGTCACTCGCCCTCTTACACTCGTGCTCTTTGTCGTTTCTCCTTTTTCTTTTCCTCTCCAGGCGAACCCAAACAGTGAAGAGATCTGGCTGGCTGCTGTCAAGCTGGAGTCTGAGAATAACGAGTATGAAAGAGCCCGTCGACTTCTAGCTAAGGCCCGCAGCAGTGCCCCGACAGCAAGGGTAAGTGTGTCAGTCAGAAAGTGGAAAAGAGAGATTTTCCTTTTTTAAACCCTCATGAGGATCATGTAGAAATCTGCAAGTAGTCACAGACTTGATGGCTAAAGTTTTAGAATTTTCTCCACATTATGTTATATATCTCTGTTTTCATAACCTTTCCTTTCATTTGGGTTATGTTGGATTAAACAGACTGAAAAGAGTTGTCATCCAAATAATGAAATGACCTTCCTTATTGCCATGTTTGACTGTTTGTACAGGGGGAAAGATTTCCTGTGTATTTACACGGTTATTTCATTTGACTCTATGATCATAAGATCAATTATTAACAGAACATTAATAGTGCATTGTTTGAGATATATTCAACACATAAGCTGTCTTTCTCAGGCTCAGGCTTGCCAGGTTACTACACCTCAAAACAATTAGCACCACAGGTTGACGGATGCTGTCAGTGGTGCACCATAGTTGTCAAGCTCTTCTTTTATTTATCTATTTTTGTATTTGCTGTCTGGTACTACTAAGCGAGCCCACTTTAATCTTGGGTATAGATTGTTCTATCAGGAAAGACACCTTCTTTGTGTTAATGATGCAGCATTCCAGCTATGCCATAGGATGACAGTATTAGATACAGGTCAAAGTTGGTAAAGTATTTGTGTTGCATTATGGGGGCTATTTTTTAACAGTGTTAATGTATGGCAGGTACATGACAATTCCATGGGACATTTAAAAGAGGAATTACTTTTGTGGACATATTTTCCGTCTAAAGAAATCATGTGTTTGTATGTTTGATTTCTCTCCAGGTGTTTATGAAGTCGGTGAAGTTGGAGTGGGTGTTGGGGAACATAGACGCTGCTCAGGAGCTGTGCACCGAGGCCCTGAAACACTACGAGGACTTCCCCAAACTGTGGATGATGAGAGGGCAGATAGAAGAGCAGGGAGAAAACATGGATAAGGCCAGAGAGGCCTACAACCAAGGGGTGAGGAGGGGGCAGTGTCTGGAAGAGTTTGTTTAATTATAATAATAATAATAATAACTAAACGATAGAGATATGAAATCTTTGATCATGTGTTTCGATGAAAATGTGTGATTTCCCCTATAACCCTTTTTCTGTCCCTGTAGTTGAAAAAGTGTCCCCACTCGAGCGGCCTGTGGTGGCTGCTGTCTCGCCTGGAAGAGCGAGTCGGACAGCTGACCAGAGCCAGGGCCATCCTGGAGAAGGCCCGACTCAAGAACTCCCAGAGCCCCGAGCTGTGGTGAGAAAATACACAACAGAGCAATGCGGTCATCCATTTAAAAGGCAAAAGCAGGACTCTGTCTGATGTCAATGTCAACAAACTAAAGTATAAGAGAAATGCAAAACACATGTCAAGCTGTGACTAAAAGGATGTGAATGTTTAACACAGGTTGGAGTCGGTCAGGCTGGAGTTCAGGGCCGGGCTTAAGAACATCGCCAACACACTGATGGCCAAAGCCCTGCAGGAGTGCCCCAATTCAGGTGAGAAGATATTCCTCCTGTTAAAGTCAACTTTCTTTTCCCAGAAACAGTCTGGTTTACTGTGTGACGTCCTATTAGAGCTACGCATATTCTAAAAAGTCATCAAAGTATGGTCCTTTTTTCAATATTAACCTTGTTTTTCTTTCGAGTGGCCTGGTTTTCCAATCAAGTTTTTTCTAGCCAAGCTAATGTTTACCTTTTTATATGACCTCAAAACACTTTATTTTATTATACCTGTAACATCCACCTGATGGGGAAATGCTATATCTTTCAGGGAATCATTTCCATAGATGTTTACCTTTTGCCCTCTGACGCAGATGCCCAGCCTTGGGCAGCATGCTATCTCCCTTAAGGAGGGGCTGCCCTAGCATTTTGTTGTTGTTACCAGTTTGTGACCGGGCAACTGTCAGTCAGAGATGGTTATTGTTGTGGAACATATCCTTCTCGGGGTGTAGATGACCCCGAGCCATAAGCGACAACAAATGTGATTCAGTGTCCTCAGCTGTTTAGTCTATCTCTTGAAGAGTGTTGATTATTACACTCTGAACCAGTTAAAACCTGGAGCTACAGGAGGGTTCTTCAGAATTGATGGTGGCATCTCAACCGTGTGGTCAGATCGTGGCCCGTGACATGTCTTGTGAATTCTCCGGCCGAAGCTCCATATAAACCGCCAGTGTTTGCCAGCAAAGCTCCAGCTCTCACCGTGTATCTTTGAGTCCTGACTCTCCATTGCTACAGAAGTTTCCCCCACAATATCTACATCAGAGTTTCCGTTAGCCGGTAATTACCGGACTTTGACCGGTAAAATATGCTGAAGACCGGTAAAACTAAATTTCTCCCGTCAAAAATAATGTCCCCTTAGCGCAATACCGCATCGGTTGCGCCACTTATGTCTAACATTTAATGTGGAGAAAGAGATTTATCCTCCTGAAGGGGACATTTTGACCCCTCATGTAAACAAATGCATAATGCTGCGCTATACTTTGCCGCCACACCCCGTTGCTAAGCAACGCGTATTGTTTGGTGTCCTTTGATAAGCAAGCAGTCATATCATTAGCCAGAACTAGCTAGTTAAATAATACTTCTGCATACAGTATGTGATACTAAGTGTTGCACGGCCAGATACGGCTCGAGAAGCTGACTGGAATGATATGATATAACGCCTATTATGATATTATATGATCGATGATGTGATGTGATATGAATGATAGGTGCGAAACGTCGGCGTCTTCCCTGCATACGGCAGTTTAAACTGTATTTCCTTTTTCCTGTAATATGGCTTTAAACTCTGCATACTGAGCTCTGATTGGTCAGCAGGCGGTGCTTTCACTGAGTTGATCTCACATTTCTAGCGAGAAGTTTATATTGTACTTTTAAAATCTACGTCCAGTGGATGTGTAGGATCTATAGTTTGATAGATATTACGAAGATGATTTGAGCTCCATGTTTTTTTTACAAAATATTGTATCCGTGTCACGTCTTGAGTGGGTTATTTGTGAATATACTACGTTTTGCCCTGTCGACCAACGTAGCTATTACATGTTTTTTGTGAGACTGGGTTGGACGGGCTGTCAGGAGAGAGAGAGGGAGGAAAAGAGAGGCTCCGTTTATTATTTCCTTGTTACTGTACACTTTTGAATAATGTAGTTAATCTATTATAATTAGTTTGTCTAATATCCGTTATCAATTTGTTTTAAAGCTCAATAAATAACAAAGAAGACCTTTGACCGGCACTATTTCTCATTTTGTCCGGAAAATGTAAACTTTAACGGACATGTTGACCGGCAAAAACAAATTCTAGCGGAAACTCTGATCTACATAAACCCTAGTCATTATTGAACTGAACTCTTTCAGAAACAGCAACTACTAGTTATAAATCTGTTTCCATCATCTCAGATATTCTGTTTCGACCCATTTCCCTCTGCAGGCATCCTGTGGGCTGAGGCTGTGTTTTTGGAGGCCAGGCCCCAGAGGAAGACCAAGAGTGTGGATGCTTTAAAGAAGTGTGAACATGATCCCCACGTCTTGCTAGCTGTTGCCAAGTATGTCACTGTTTTCCTCTCTTTTTCAGTAATATCTCTGCTTTTATTTTTAATTATATAATACTTTCCCTTTCTCTGCAGTTTTTTTTAACATTCCAGTCTGCACATTTTTAGGCATGATGCTTGAATTTGTATCCAATTGAATGCCTTTGCAACCATTTTAGGTTGTTTTGGAGTGAGCGTAAGATCACCAAAGCCAGAGAGTGGTTCCTGAGGACAGTGAAGATCGAGCCTGACCTGGGAGATGCTTGGGCTCTCTTCTACAAGTTTGAGCTGCAGCATGGCACAGAGGTAAGGATCTTATTATTGTCTTACATTATCTTAGTAAAGCCACTTTGTTGGTGTCAAGCTCACATGGTTCACTTGATGGAGAATGATAAACACATCCTGCAGTCTGATGCAAGTTCAGTTAATGTAGATTAGTTTATCAATGAACAAGGAGCAAGACCGCACTGGACAGATAATGGTCTCATTGTATCATGTGGTTCCTGAGGGCATGCATGTGTTAATGGTATCTAACATTGCTTGTTGTGCGGTCACCAGGAACAGCAGGAAGAGGTGCGAAAGCGCTGTGAGAATGCGGAGCCCCGTCATGGAGAGCTGTGGTGTGCCGAGTCCAAACACGTCCTGAACTGGCAGAAGAAGACAGGAGAGATCTTAGCAGGGGTAGCCGGCAAGATCAAAAACACATTCTGAGGAAGAGGACTTTTGGACTGAAAATGCCCGAGAAGAGTCACCAGTCTGGAAGGCAACAGATTTGGGCATGCTCAACTATTATTTTGGACTAGTGTTCTCTCCCAGGATTTACCAATCTGTAGCCGATACAAAGGATTCACACATACCACAAACCCTTTTCAGGAACAGGATTACAGTTTGTAGACTTATAAAGAAAATGATGATTGATTTCTAAGTGAAAACAAAGTAACAATTGAATCCCTTTTCAAGTGAATAGATATCAGCAACAGTAGTCAACTTCTTTTTTTTGTAGCTCTGCTTTTTCAGGTAGCGCAGGATTCTCAGTAGACAGCAGTTTTCTAGTCCTCAGACAGACTTAGGTCAGGACTCTGACATCCAGGAAACATTCTGTTTTTAAGCCATTCCTGTGTAACGTAAGCTTTGTATTTGCAGTATTTGCCTGCTGGGAAGTACAATTTCTCCAAAGTTCAGGATGACGGTCAAAGAGTTTAAATGTGGTCTCATTAGACCATAGAACCTTCTTCCACTTTGTTTCAGTCTCCCATAGGCCTTTTGGCAAAGACAAGCCCAGTTACAGCAGTTCACCTTTCCTTGCAACACTGCCATAAAGCTGCACCTGGTGGATCACCCAGGCAACAGTTATATTTTAATAACTAAGGAAAACATACTCACTCTACTGAGGTGGTGACTTAATTCATTAATGTGTAGCTCTATAGTTGATTTGTTTTCATGTTGACATTAGGCTGTTGTTCTGCTGATTAGTGTTGTAATTCTAATTTCAGTTGTGGTAATTATAACAAAAACCTGGAAAACCACAGAGCTTAAATAGGCACTGCCAGGGTGAAATATACAAAACACATGTTGATTGAATCCACCTTTACAGTATGTTGTGAATGAACTCTATGTATCGGGGGATAGTTGTTGTGGTTGTTGTTGTCAACACTTGTTTGCTAAAAGAAAATATCCTAACATCTTGTTTTGAGGAAGTTATTTCCATGTCCAAATTTGACTCTGTTTAGTATTTGTATATAAACTCCTCTTCAGGGACTATTACATGATATCTTACATGTTGTAGTATTGATCTTTTTTCTACATGGCTTGCTTGAAATGTTTTTAAATTCTTTGCAGGCATCACATAAACGACACTGTTTATTGCGCAATTAGCTTATTCACCCGAACAAGTCCTATTATGCATGGTTGTGATTTGAATGCTAAAATTGAATCTAAATCATGCAGTTCCCATGAATGGCCAGCATTTCTGTCTGTATGGGGTTTATTTTAACTTTGTACCTTTTGGTTTGGCTGAAATCAGTCTGTATCACTGCATTATGTAAATGTTTCAACATCATAACCAATAAGAATCGTTTTATTATTACTCTGGTTTTCTGTTCTCACTATATCTCATGGCTTATATCCCTCTTCGCGCACACAATGTAAAAATGTTTGCCTAAAGGGCATTTTGGATAGAAACACGCACCAAAGTACACACTTTTAACACCAATCCTTCACGGCATAATGTCTTACCAACGAAATCGAAAGGATAAAGGCAAGTGATTGATGACAGAGGTTGTCTTCGACTTGATGGGACTGGAGTTAGGTGAAATCCTAAACCCAGCGTCAGCAATCCATGACGGGGAAAGGTTTTAGCAGCAGGGGCTTTGATGATGTTGGAAACATCGGAGCACCACATCGGAAGTCTACCTGCTATCGCGTTAACCTATCCACCTGAGGAAGTATAACACAATACTGATAAAAGACAATGAGCTCGGCCGGATCAGGATTAATTCGTTGTTTCGCCATGCTACTGAACGATATGCCTTTGCTTGTTTGAGGATTCTGCAGTACAACATGATAAATGGTAAGTACGGTTTTGACATCTGTTGCGTAAATACGCACCAGATGTGCGGGTGTAGAACACTTTCCAAAGTTGCGCCGCTAACAATAGATTGAATGTATAGAGCTCTACTTCAAATAGGACTTTATTTAGGTGAAATTATGGTATGTGGAGGAAACGCCTGGAAACCGACAGATGCTTTAACGCATGTGAAGCTGTGGCGCAGTGTGGGTCTGAGCGGGATCCAATTAAACATTTATTATTCGACTGTTTTGTTGCATAATATATGTACAATACCAATGTCTCTTTTATAGTGTTTGACTGGAACTTTACTCCGTAATGTCGTGGTGGTTCTCTTATTGGTCGACGCTTGTGGGAAACGTAGATGTAACTACAGGGAGATCCTGGTTTCCTACAGAGAGTTCATCTTCGTTGAGCTGCAGAATCTGGTATGAGGACATTGATGCAACTTTTGGATGTGTGTATGCGATGATGTGAGCGTTATGTGACTGACAGAGTTTTTAAAAAATAATAAAGATTCCTCCTTCTAACATTGGTTTAGATGTCAGTTTTTTCTAGTCAGCTGATACAGTAATTAAACATGTGGAAGCGACGTGTGATTATCCTGTGATAGACTGCAGCGTTCCACTTTTTGCTTCACTTTTGAATTAATCGATATTCATATTGTTTTGCAGAATTTGACTGGTTCAATTAATACCTCCAAAGGGAGGGACCCCTGTCCCTCAGGAAAGGTAAATGGCAAGTCAGCATGTGTTCTTTCAGCACCATGGACAGGGTAAACATGAGGCTATTTGTCTTGGGTTTTGCAATAACCTGTGACCTGGATTACTCCCACTAAAGAGAAGAATATCTCAAGGAACACAATAAAGCATTACTTACATGTGTTATGAAGTATGCTAATTTATTTAGATAAATTGGAATTGTGAAATGTTGTTTTATTTTGTTTGCTCTCTGCACTACTATTGCAGGCACATCGCATTCTGGTTTCCATCTATAGTTTGTCACATCAGATGAGGTGTCAGACAAGCGGCAAGTTGAAGTCTGACCTGGAAAGGCCAGTGAAGAGCATGGAGCAGCTCATCAGTCAAAACTGCAGCCCTGATGACCTGGTTGGTCTTTGTGTTTGTATTGAATTAATATGTCCATCAATACATAAAGTCAAAAGTAAAAAGTCAAACAAAACTGCACAGCACATAACAGACAGATACACCCCACCACCCCTCCTCTCTTTCACATCAAATAAGAAATAGATAGGGCTTGGGAAATGTTTGCTCATGGCCAAACATTGGCCATGAGCAAACGCGAGTACAATTAAACGGTAAAACGGCTTTTGTTGTAAGACAACAAAAGCATCCTTAATAATGTGAGAGGAACAGTATCAATACAGATACCTGGATAAAAAGAGCAATACTTTGCTTTGTATATTCTTTCAGGGGAAGAAAGTCTCCTGTTCAGCTGTCAAGAAAATACGAGGAAAGAAGAGAAGGAGAATCAGGTTCATCAAAGTTCTAAATGCGCTGATCACATGTTGGCAAAAACTTATTGTCTCCATGCCCTCACATTAGAAAATCTTACTGTGCTACTTTAAGGTGGATTATATAAACATCACCACATCAAACTGAGGATTTTACCTTGCCAATAACACATTGTTCTTTGAATGCAATATCATGAATGTACACTGTTGTCAAGTTCTCAATGTTTTTATTTTTGAATAGTTTTATAGTAACCACAGATAAGCTATTAAATATCCACCATGCTTTCAAATACTTGTAGAAAATGTATGTATAATGTATTTTCTTAGCCTCTCAAGATGTAACAACCATTGTTGTCTTTGTAAGCCATATGTACCCATGACATGTTCTTCTGTCATGTAGAAACATAATAAATGGAACTTTTTTAAATGTCTCTTCTCGTATGAAGTCGTGGTACTGTGATTTTCTGCATTTTCTTCCTACAAATAATAATAAAAATAATTAACAAAGTTATAAATGAATTGATTAAAAATAAATAAAACAATACTTTATGTCACACTTAGCCACACATAGCCTACTATTAGTAATCATTGCAATAATCATATCATCATACATCATGAAAAAACATATTAATAATCTAAAACTATAATACATTTGATTATATCTTGTTGAGGGAAATGAAAGGTGCACTCAAAGTATACAAATAAAGCTGTATGGCCCTCCTCGTGTTACTATGGAAGCGGAACCATTCTACAGCATTGTTTCCACCCGGACCTAAAGATATGTTGCACAGCCTCGACCAAACGATACACCAACGATACGAAACATCAACATCAGACACACATGGCATCGATGCGGTAAATACACCCTAATACCATCACAAATGTCCGTATAAAACTGCATTTAATTTTTTTTTACCGTTTAATTGTACTCGCTTTCGTTTCGTTATTTTAAAAGCATCATCAGTCTGTGTTAACTATCGAACGTAGTTACATATTTCCTCATCCTATTGAGTGTTCTGAAAAGCTCCTTTAACAACTGAAAGCGACGTTTAGCTCTTTTGTTGCGTGGTTGGTTATATAGGTTTATCAGCAAGTATAAGTCAAGTAGCCCCTGAAATAGCCGAAATGGCCAGCAGCAACATTGTAGACATGGATCCAGATGTTGCTCGGAGGCTTTTTGAGGAGGGGGCTACGCTGGTGCTGCTGGATGTTCCTCTGGGCACAGAGCTGGGGATTGACTGCAAGAGTTGGCAGGTGGGTCCCCGCTTCAAGGGAGTGAAGATGATCCCCCCAGGCCTGCACTTCCTCCACTACTGCTCTGCTAACTCTCCAAGCTGTGGAGGAGAAATTGGCCCGAAGACAGGCCTCTTCGTCACTCTCAAACCCAAAGACATACTGTTGGCCAGATGGGATCCAAAAGAAGAAGATCTGGACTTCTCACCCTCCCAGGATGAAGAGGAGGTGAGCCGGATCAGGGCCAACCTGCAGGACCTGGATCCCCACCTGGGGCCCTATCCGTATGAGGTGATCAGGAAGTGGGTGTCCCTCACTGACAGGCTGAGTGAGGAGGTGGCCAAAAACCTACAGCCCCTTTCAGGTCGAATATGTGCCTTCAGTGACGTCATCCCTGAGGTTCAACTCACTCACACCAAAGACAGGGCGGAGCAGCCGAGGAATGACACGGCCTGTCAGAGCATGAAGGAGGGACTCGAGAAGCTCCCCAGGATGAAGCCGAGGGAGGGCACAGAGTTTCGCTTCTCTGTTATCCCCGAGAAGAAGTACCCGGCTGGGGCTACACCTGAACAGATCACCCAGTGCAGCCTGGACCAGAGCTACGCCCTGGAGTCTGTGCTGGAGAAGAACCATCAGCTGCAGCCCCTCAACTTGCTAGGTAATAATACACCATCAATATAGCACACACTTCCATTTTACATATTCAAATCTGACTCCATTTTCTGTCTCTCTTCTCAGGGGAGATGCAGTTTGCCTTTGTGTGTTTCCTGATTGGAAATGTATACGAGTGCTTTGAGCACTGGAAGAGTCTCCTGTCCCTGCTGTGTCGATCAGAGGAGGCGATGCGAAAACGTAAGGAGCTCTACCTGGGGCTCATCGGCGTGCTTTACCACCAGCTAGGAGAGATCCCGCCGGACTTCTTTGTTGACATCGTGTCTCAGAGCAACTTCCTCACCTCCACATTGCAGGTAGAGGATGCAAACAATGATTACATGCATGCTGGTATGAACATGGTCTCAAGTACATATACATAGAAATATGTAGTGTCAGTGTAAGGCTTTATCAGGATGCTTGGGCAACTGATTTGTTCTGAACTTGTAGTGGTCTAAAGGACAACTTGATTGAAATACATTAAAATATAGTCGCTAAACAAATTTTGACTGTCACATCTCATGAGAAAAAAGTTAAATCATGATCTTGTTTTTAGACACACAATAAGCTTAATCGCTGTGCAATTGTGAAATTAGTAGGGCTTACCCGAATATTCGTTAGTTGGCCAACTATTCGGGCTTCAATTTCATTATTCGGATATTCGTTTTTTTATTTTATTTTTCAAATTTTTTATTTTATTTTTCTAAATGTATGCTATTAATAAAGGCGAATTGCCATATTCTTATACTATATTTCTACTTTTGAATTGCAATGTTAAAATGCGGAAATATATACAATCTCAGCCTGTGCTCCTGACATCGTGTTCACTCACAGTCACGAACGCAAACGGCACGCTTCACCTCGCTTCACCTCGTTTCACCCACAAAATGCTGAAGACTTCAGCTGTGTGGGACCATTTTAAATTGGACGACGGTAAGAAGAATATGTGCCAAATATGCGATAAGAAACTGGCCTACCACGGTGGCACAACAACTCTGAAAAGTCACCTGGATGCTGTAAGTAGTAGCCTAGCTTAGCTTAGCTGTTGTCAAGTTGCCATGATGAAGCTGCTTTATCCGCCGTTTAAACAGTAACGTTACACATGATAAAAACGTGCACTTACTTTGCTTGGAAAATAGTTGCAAGCAAGCAACCGAAATGTTTTTTTATATTAGTTTTTCAATTTTATCCGAATAGTGAAAATAATAGGAACATCTGGGGCTAAGGCAATTATTGGCATACAGTTTGTTCATTTATTTTTCGTTCTTTATTTATTTAAATACTGTTTACTGTATCGGTAACAAGTGTTACA